CGGCTGCGCGCCGGAGGACGACCTAGATAGAAGAAACGCGCGCCGGAGGACGACCCGGAGAAAGCACGTGAGGTGCGAGCCCCATAGGGAGGGGGCTCCCGCCTGAGACTTCCTCGCAATTCACTCACAGGAGAAGTTCCTGCCTCATACTTCCCACATATTCAAGCCTCAGGAACCCAAAAGTGACGAGAATTACAGGGTTCCCATCACCAGCTCGGACTAGTAACATGATCTGCGGGCCACATACGGAGGAGGCTCCCCGCCTGAGACTTCCTCGCAGCTCGCTCACAGAAGAGGCTCCCGCCTCATACTTCCCCCCCATATGCAGGCCCCACGACCCCAAAAGTGACGAGAATTACAGGGTTCCCATGCCCAGCTCGGATTAATAACATCATCCGCGGACCCCATAGGGAGGAGGCTCCCGCCTGAGACTTCCTCGTAGCTCACTCACAGACGAGGCTCCCGCCTGACTCTTCCCCCATATGCAGGCCCCACGAGCCCAAAAGTGACGACAGTTCCAGAGTCCCGATGACCCGCTCGGATTATCAACATCATCTGCGGGCCCCACAGGGAGGGGGCTCCCGCCTGAGACTTCCTCGCAATTCACTCACAGACGAAGCTCCCGCCTGAGATGAGTAAATGAGTGAGTGAGTGAGTGAAGATGATGTTGTGATGATGACGACGATGATGATGATGATGATGATGATGATGATGATGATGATGATGATGATGATGATGATTATGATGAGTAAGATGAGTATGATGATGATGATGATGATGATAATAATGATAATGATGATGATGGCAGTGTGAGTGAGTGGATGGGCGGGTAGGTTGGTGAGTGAGTGAGTGGGTTGAGTGAGTGAGTGATGATGAGTGTGTGTGTGTGTAAGTGGGTGAGTGAATGGGTGAGTGAGGGTATGTGTGTGAGTGGGTGAGTGGGTGGGTGGGTGAGTGCGAGTGATGATGTGTGTGAGCGATTGAACGAATGAGTGTGCGATTAGAGAAGGGGGTGTGCTCTCTTGGTCCTGCGCGGGGTGTCTAGAGAAAACAAGAACCCCACTTTGGATGTGGGGAAAATTCGCCGGCCCAACGGGACAGAGGAGTGCTAAGATCTCCGGTAACTGGTTAATAATCTTCTAGTTCGCGCGCGCGGGGCGGCCCTGGGGCCCCCCGGACGAAAAGTACCCAGAGCAGGTCCCGGCCAAGTGGGGCGATGGTTTTCCTCCTCGGCGCTGCCTTCCAGGCTTTCCAGAGCGCTCCAGGAACTCCCCAAGAGAGCCCCTAGACGCGCCCGAAACCGTCCGAAAGGCCCTAGGTCGCCGCAAGATCGTTCCAAGACGCCGAAGATGGCCTCCAGACGGCCCAAACCGCCGCCAAGAAGCCCCAAGAGAGCCTCAAGAAGCCGTCCAAGAGAGTCTCACGAAAACGTGCATTTTTCGCATCTGCGACTCTTGGGGGTTCCGAGCGTCCAGTACTGCCCAAGAGGCCTCCAAGATCGCACCAAGACGGCCCAACAGGCCCCCAAGATGGGCCGAACACGGCCGAAGAGGGCCCCAAGACGGCCCAAGAGGCGCCCAGGACAGCCCAAGAAGGCCCCAAGAGGTGACCAGGAGGCGCCCAGAACTGCCCAAGGGGCCCCCACAACGACCCAAAAAGCGCCCAAGAGGGGGAACGGGATGCAAAAATCCGAGCCTTCAGCCCGAAAGAGGCCCCCAAGAGGCCCCAAGAGACCACAAGAAGCTTCAAAACTGCCTCCAAGAGACTCCCGGATCGACTGCCAAGAGACCCAGCAGCGCCGCATTGACAACGATCCCTCGGGCACACGGCAGAGATGAGGCTACATGGACCGGGGGAATGAGCGAAGCGATTAAATGATATAAAAAATCGCACCCAGAGAATACGCCTCCTGTAGAGGAACATACCCGACTTGATACTTGAGTCCTCCCGCGCGTCGGCATTCCCGTCCCAGCCTTGAGCGATGAGCTCAGTGATTTCCAGCTGCTGCGCACTCTCTGAAGGATCGGGCGTTGGCAAAACTGGGTTTCGCGGGACCTGATTTGGCGATTCCGGCCTATGTTTTGGGCTTCGGGGCCCAATCATTAACTGGCTGCCCTGAACCAGGGTTATGGCTATACCCGAAAAGAGATAGTGAACCTCGGTCGGAAGATGGGTAGACACATGAATCAGGAGGGCACTTGAGGCAGATTGGGCTTCCGCCCGCTCCCTGACGAGGAGCGATTTGCGCCCAGAGTAGATCAGGGTCTGGGATTTCACAAAGACCTACTTTCAACACGACCGACGATGTGGGGTACTCTGGCCGTTCGAGCACAGCCAGGCTTGTGGATGCCATGAAAGAGGACACTCTAACAATCCTATCATTGAATTAAAGATGTTTCTACGATGTGTAAAACACGTTCGAAACATGTGTCAAGCCTGTTATATATATATATTGTACATGTATTTGGGAATCCTTTAGACATCTGGAATTTATTTGGTAACACGCTTCTTCTCCATTCAATCGACGTCCACGCATCAATTGAATTAAAGACGTGTTCAACATGTATGAAACATGCTCTAAACATGTTTCAAACATGTTTTCACATCGTTGAAACATGCTTGAAACATCTTTTAGACATCTGGAACTTATTTTGGCAGCATGCTTCCTCTCCATTGATCCCCCACAATTAGGTCAGGCGAAAGGGGCGGATAGCAAAGGGGGGGGGGGACTCAGCTCACGTAGCTGCTTTTCCCGGCGCCTCCCGGCGCCAGAGGCGCCCATGCATCGAGGAATGGGCCCCTCGGTGGGGCCGAAACCAGCTGCATGCAGCAAATGTCGTAACCCCCTTTCCCCAATCCCCCCCTTTCGTCCGGCCCGAAACATGTATAAGCCATGTCCTAAAAATGTCTCAAACATGTTCTTGCGTCGCTGAAACATGTTCGAAACCTCTTTTAGGCATCTGGAACTCATTTGGCAGCATGCTTCCTCTCCATTGACCTCCTCCTCCTCCTCCTCCTTCTCCCCTCGTCCTCCCCTCGTCCTCCTCCTCTTCCTCCTCCTCCTCCTCCTTCTCCTCCTCTCTCCTCGTCCTCCCCTCGTCCTCCCCTCGTCCTCCTCCTCTTCCTCCTCCTCCTCCTCCTCCTCCTCCTCCTCTCCACAAGGCCAGGCTGCGTGCCGCCAGGCGGCGTTGTGAGAAAAAAAACTCTGCGGCCGCCCCGCGGCGCCAGCCCCCTCGGGGAGCGGCCGGCCCAGGCGGCGGCACCCTCTCGGAGCTGGGGCCGCGGGCAGCGCAGAGGTAAGCGACCCTCCTCCTCCTCCTCCTCCTTCCTCCTCCTTCCTCCTCCTTCCTTCTCCTCCTCCTTCTTCTACTTTTTCTTCTTGTTCTTCTTCTTCTTCCTCTTCTTCCTCTTCCTCCTCCTCCTCCTCCTCATCCTCCGCCGCCTCCGCCTCCGCCTCCGCCTCCGCCTCCGCCTCCGCCTCCGCCTCCGCCTCCGCCTCCGCCCCCTCCTCCTCCTCCGCCTCCTCCTCCTCCTCCTCCTCCTCCTCCTCCTCCTCCTCCTCCACCTCCTCCTCCTCCTCCTCCTCCTCCTCCTCCGCCTCCGCCTCCGCCTCCTCCTCCTCCTCCGCCTCCGCCTCCGCCTCCGGCGCCATGGCCAGTAGAAGTTGACGTGCCCGTCGCGATGTAACTGGACACTCCGTCCGTAAATGAAGCAGGTCGGGGTCGGTGAAACCGAGCACGACCAATCTGGCCTTGCCCCTGAGCGCGTTGCCCTTGTCACCCTTCTTCCAGGTCAGCACGAAACGGCAGCGCAACAGACGCGCCGGGTCGACCCCTGTCGACTGAGGAGCCTGACGGCTTTCGTGCTGAGGACGGAGGTGCACTCCTTCTGCTGTGCCTCGGGTAGCAAATTATTATCCTCTGGGGTCGCCTTCTTGAACGAGACTTCGACTCGACCCTTCCGGGCCTGCGATGCCACGAAGTTGTTGGGGTCGTCCATGTAAGCCACGAGCGTGTGCTCGTTGTTGACAGGGATGTCCAGCACGATGAGCTCGTCGCCCTCCTTGACCTCGTCATACGGCAGGAGGCTGTAGGCGTAGCCCCCGTAGGAGTTACCCTCCTGCAGGTAGTAGGAATAGTCCTCCTGGGTAGCCAAGTTGATCCGCTGCTTCTTGATCGGGGGCTCCGTAGATCCTGGCGATCGTAGCCGACGCTTGTCATTGTCGTTCGGCGCCGCCGTCTCGCCCAACTCATCGTCCGTGTCCGCGGCCAGAGGTTGCTGAGTCGCGGGTGGTTCTTGATCGTCATCCGGAGGAGCCTCCATGATGAACTCATCTTCTGCAGTCGGTTCGGCTTCGGCTGGCTGTCCAGCTTCGTGGTCTTCAGTCTGTGGAATGCCTGGTGGAGCTTCTGGTGGTGCTGGCTGGATGAGAGATTCCTGGGCCTCGGTAGCCTTATCCCAGGGATTGCACTTCCTCCGTAGTCGCCGCGGCGGTCGCGGGCCCGGGAGCGGTCGTTCCTCGAGGCCTGGTGGGGCTGATGGGGCCCCACCGCCTCCGCCGCCGCCTGGGTCCAAGCTCTGAGGATCTCCTCGTGGAACAGGTAGGTCCTCGTCTTCAGGGATGGCCCAGGGCCTGCTTGCGTCATTCTCGAAAACGCGGGCGCTGACCGACTCTCCGTCGTCAGCGGCAAGGTCCTCACCAGTGGGTGGGGGCTCGTTCGACAGGTCGACCACCTCGTTCGCGTCGAGCTGCTTCTGGGCGTCGCCGAAGGTCCATGTTCCAGGCTGCTCGCGGCGCGAGCGTAGCGACGCCATCGCCTCCTCGGAAGGTGTGGCGGGCCGAAGTTGTGCGGGGGCAACTCCGTAGAGTCGCCCAGCTAGCGCGATGTTGACCACCGTCCCAGGCAGACCAGGTCGATGTCCTGAGCTGGCAGGCTCATGGCAGGGTACTCGTCCAGGTCCGTACCAGCGGCCTCGTCCTGGCATGAATCGGGGTTGTCCTTTCTTGCGCCAGGCTCCAGGTGGGAACCGCCGGTAGACGAATACCAGGTCGCCCGTCTCGTACTTCTGGAACGATCTGAATCTTGCGGCCTCCGCACGCTTGACTCGGTCGGAGTTCTCCGTCTGGATGCGAGCGAGCCGTGCGATCCGTCGTACTTGAGCGCCCCTGCTGAAGGTGCCATCCTGCAGCTCGGCGCTGATGAGCGGCAGGTTGGTCGGCTCGTCGAAGAGGTTGACCGTGGTGCCAATGGGCGTCCGTCCCGCATAGCGCTGCAGCGGACTGAAACCGTCGATCCTGATCAGGTCGTTCCTGGCTGCTGTCTGTAGCCAGAACATCTCGCTCGTGGGAACTTCAACTGGTATCATCTCGTCGAAGGCGTCGAGGGCCTCCTTAAACGCTTCGATGGCTCGTTCGATCTTGCCGATCTGCCAGTGGGCGTCGGCAGCGCATGGGAGGCAGTCGACCCCCTGGCTCTCGATCCACTCGCGGAACTCGTCGGAGATGGCGCCCCCGGCTGGATCATAGCGCATGACCTTCGGCCGCCCCATCCAAGGGAACCACTTCGTGGCAACGATGTGTCGAAGGTCGCCCGCGCGAACTTGTCTGCAGGTCCCTGGGATCGCTTTCTTGCCGATAAGCCGCACGTACAGTATGTCCGAGCCAGCGTCTAGGATCGCTAGCGCCATCACGCTGGCGTTCGAGCTGCGACGGATCCAAGAAAAGGCTTCGAACAAAACTTCGTGACCATTATGGGGCTGCTCTGCTGAGGAAGCTGGTTGCCGCTTCGTCGGTGGTCGGCGAGCATCGCAGATGTCGCACTTGAAGGTTCTGGCCAACCGTAGCACCTCAGGTCTCGCACCTCGAGACAGGTAGCGTGGAAGATGTGATCGAGGTAAATGTCCCAGGTTGGTGTGAACCAGCCTGATGTAGCTCTCGAGCTTCTTGACTGTGTCGCTGGTGAGGTCGTGTGACTCCTTGCCATCTAGTGGTGGAATTGATGTCTCGTCCTCCTCTGGAGTCGGCTCAGTAGGTGGCTGCTGGGTAGCGGCCATGCAGAAACAATTCACGACCTCTTCTTCGAAGTAAGTATGATTCTGGCTCTTGGTCAGAGCTCGGAGGATCCGGCGGCGCAGCATCTTGGGATAGGAGCCCGAGGCCTCGGTCCTCAGACTGCTCTCGATTTCCTCATAATAGTGTCCTCCACGGCATTGTAGCGGCTGGAGGGCCACCCAGATCCTCTTGACGTTCGTCAGGAACTTCCAGCGCTTCCTCATGAGCTCGCCTGTGTCCGGGGCTTTGGGTCCGCAGGCGCAGCCGTCCACGATCGCCTCGTAGGGGGGAATATTGTGCAGGTCCTTCCAGCAGGTCTTCTGCCACGAAAGACTGTTGTGTGGCTGCTCGGCGAGGGCCGAGCCATTCAGGTGAAGCACCTGATGCTCGATGAGCCTCTTGTCGTTTTCGAAGATCCGCTGGCTCTTGAGTCGCTTCTTGCGCAAATTATCCTTCTGCTTGTCGTCGCGCTGGTTGATATTCTGCATAATCGACCACGGCCCGCAGGGAGGTGTGCTGACGAGGAGCTCCAGGCGCCTCTCGTCCAGCAAGAACTTCGCCTTGTGGTTGCCCTGCGGCTTGCTGAGGTCGCAGTCGTTGAACTGGCCGAGCCTCTCGTAGTGGTAGCCCTTCTCGTCGCAGACCTGGCCAAGGTTGGAGTCCGCGTGGGTGCGCGCCTCGACCATCGCCAATCTGCCGAAGGTCGTGAGAGCGCACATGGCTCGGAAGATGGCCGACCTCGTCGAGTGGGTAATTGCGCGAATGGCCTGACGCTGATGGCCTCTCAGTGGGCGGCCCTCGTCGCTTCCCCAGCGTCGCTTCTCGGCCTGAATGTCGCGCAGGTCCTCGTCCTGCCCCCGCGCGCCTGGTGGCGCCACCCGAAGGGCCTCGCCTTCACGATCGGCTCGTTCTTCGCGATGCCCCGCTGCTGCTGACAGTCTAGGCGCTGGCACATCTGCGTGTAGTGCTCTGGGATCGCCGGGCCCGCGGCGATAGGCCCCGTCTCCACCTTCTTGGTCTCCGGCTCCTTCTTGGCCCTGATCGTCGCTGCCGCCGTTCCGCGCTGCTCGACGATGTACGCGGTGAGCCTGTCGATCACCTCCCCCTTCTTGCCGGACTGCGTCAGTCCCCAGGTCTTGCACAGGGGCCTCAGGTGATTGACCACCGTCACCATGTTGAGCTTCTCGTAGATCTGTTCCGAGCTGAGCGCTGCAAACGCATCCACCGTCGCATACTTGGTCGAGAAGTCGGACTTTGCGGTCTCGACGTTGGCCCGCAGCTCCTGGTTCTGCTCTCGCGCGGCCGCGGATGCGGCTGACCTCTGCTTCGTCTCCGTCCTGGGACGCTGTGGCTCGATCTTCGCACGACGCCCGAGCTCCGCTGGCCAGGTCGGGTACTTCTCGGGCAGCAGCTGCACAAGGAGGCCGATGCTGTCCAGCTTCCAGGTCACCCGGTCGATCGTCTTGAGGAAGACCTTGATGATGACCCGCACCCAGCGGCGGCACATCGCCCACTGCTTCAGGAGCTTGCTGGACCACGTCTCCCAGGTCGGCAGGTGCCCCAGTAGAAAGGTGTCCGTCAGGCGCTTCAGGCTCTTGTCCAGCTCCGAGCCCTCGACCGTGTAGAATATGTTGCCCCTCGTGTCCTGATGCTGGACCAGGCGAGCCGATGGCGGCATCGGCTGCGTAGGTCTCGTTGACGTCGGAGGGTGAGTCGGAGCGCCTGCATCCAGTGGCGGCACCGCTTCCCATGATCCGACCATCTCCTCGTTCTCCAGCTTCACCTGCTGGCTCTCGGCTTTGCGGCATTTCGCATCGCGGTTGAGGTTCATGCGAATATGGAAGAAATGCTGGTTGCTGGAATCTAAGCTCTGGGCTTGGATCTACTGCGCCATAAACGGCTGTGGAAGGCGGGGGCGTTGGGGTCTGGAGCTCTGGGAACTTGGGGATCTCTGGGCGAGCCTCTGTAGGTGTTCCCGATAATGTCATAGTTGGTACTGCAGGAGGCGATTCTGATGATGCCCATGACGCTTGTAAGGACGATGTCCCCGCTGTCGTAGGTAATGATGATGCCCCCGTAGCCCCAAGTAATGATGTCCCCGTGGTCGTAGGGAATGATGACGTACCCGTGGTCGTAGGTAATGATGAAGCGCCTGAGGCCTGTGGGGCTCCATTGTCTGGGACCTCGTCGGGGGCCTCGTGGGGTGCCGCTGCAGACGGTCTAGATATCTCGCTTTCCGGTTTGTTCCTCCGGCACGGCGGCCAGTCTCGGGTGTCGAGGGCGCGCGCCCCTACTCGCGGGATGCCGCGAAGCCAGAATCGGCTCGGCGCACAAGCGGCAGTGCAAGGTGGCCGCTCGGAAGGACGAGCAGCTCAGCTCGGCGCCCGAGCTTCTTGAAGTAAACAATAGCGTGCGCCTCGCAGTCAATCGCAGCCCCGAGGCGGCTCAGCGCGTTCACTCCGGTCAGGAGCGGGGCGTCTGCGTCGAGGATGTTGATCCCTAGCTCGCCGTCCACACCGGCGATCATGAGGGGAAAGGTCGCCTTGCCGGTGCAGATCCTGGCATTGCCGTCGCCAAATATAAACGTACTCTTCTGACGAACGTCCATCTTGATGTTCTTGCCCGTCTGCTCGTAGGATAATGTCGCGTAGGTTCTCGGCGGCCTCTATGCCCATGATGCTAGAGGTCGCGCCGACGTCGAGAATGCCGAAACCCTTGGAGGAGCTCTGCTTGACACTCATGAGAATCCAATCCTCGGCCTTCTCCAAGGTTGACCAGATCGGTAGCTTCTCGTGCTGGGCCCGTTCTCGCAGCTCGATGGCCCTCTCGATCGGCACGCAGGAAGCATTGCCCAGGGGCTGCTTCTGGTTGGCGGTCTTCGGCCGATTCTTGATCACTGGCTTGTTGGCAAGAGGCGCTTCCAACCGTAGCCTGGACATCTCGTTCGTGATGAGGTTAGCTTCCATCTCGGCATCCTGCTCGGCGCCGTGGACGAAAGCTCTGGAATCCTTTGCGTGTCTGTCTCGGTCGCCCCGGCTGCCAGTAGAAGATGCGCGCTCTCGATCTCGATGATCCTTGGTCTCGCGGTCGCCGCCGCACTTCAGGCATGGTCCTTTCCTGGGAGGCCGACCTTGGGAGCGATCACCTTCTCGTCGGGATGGTCCGTCACGTCGCTGTCCGCTCCCGCGGCCTCGTCCCTTGGGCGGCCCTGAGCCTCTGGGCCCGGCCCGGGGCCCTGGCGGTTTGCGATGTCCACTTCGGTATTCTCGCTTCTTGTTCTCATCCACGGGGTAGAATTTCCTGGCGGTCTTCACTCGTCTCAATAAATCTCGGGCCTCCTCGAAGCTTCTCTGCTGGGAGGCGAAAGCGGCCTCGGCCTCCTCGATCGCCTGGGCACTGTAGAGCGGCTCCTCGGGGTCTTCCTCATCCCCCTCGTCGCCCTGGCCGTCGTAGGTCGCCTCGGACTCGTGCTCTTCGTAGTAGCTGTAGTCGTCGTCCTCCTCGCCGTTCGCTTCCCAGCCGGCATGGATTCGCCCCCGTTCTCGGTGACGGAAGTCCTTGCCTTGCCTCTTGTCCCGATTGGTCAGCTCATCATCTGGCCAGGAAACGCGTAGCTGTTCTCCGATGCTGTCGTAGTCGAAGTTACCCTTGACTGCGCTGATGACCGCTGCCCGCTCCGTCGGCGTCAGTCTCGATCGCTGTAGCAGTAGCCATCCGCGCAGCTGGTCTAGGGGGATCGCCCGGTTGAAATCCGTCACGAAGTCGGGATGCTCTGGGATCTCCTCATGACCCGTCTTGGCGAAGTTCCAGAGCGAAGTGTTCAGCTCCTTGGCCTTCTCCGCAGCGTCCTCCGGCTGTGCGCCGCTTCTTGAAGGCCTTGACCACGTCATGATAGGCCTCTTCGTCTCTGCTGGCGTAGCTTGGCATCGTTTCTCCAGTGTCCCGTCGTAGATCAAAGATCCATCTGGCGAAATACTTTCCTGCATCCTGGACGGGTTGAGCTCCGAGCTTCGCTCTCACGTGACTAAACAGCTCGGTAGCTCCATCGTCCGTCTCGATGCGGTCCCAGTCGACATCTTTGGCTGCTTGCCTCGCTCGTCCTTCAGGTCGTCTCCATAATCGTGGGCCGCATACGTATCTCTCGTCTCGACGGGTCCCTCGTATGTAGGCCTTCATATCTCTTTCGTAATCATCCACCGTGGTGAGATCTCCGTTCCACTTCGGTACGATATCGTCTCCGTTAGTGTTCGCCATAATACGTGGAATATGTCCGTGAATATGTGTCCGTGGTGCGTATGCTCCGCTACCATGCAATGGTCCCGCTGATAGACCACTGCCCTAATACAATCCAGAATACTGGTATCCCTCCTCACAAGACAGCAAACCAGGATACTAATCTCTCGTCTCTGTCGATGATGTGTGTGAGGTCGTTCAGATTGGTGAATCTGGGGCAGTGTCAGTGCGACTCTGGTCGCACGGTGGTGATGAACAGGATCTGTATTGGCGGGCAGTTCTCTGCTCTGCGTCTCCCAGACGCACACCAGTCAGTCCAGCGTCGCTGTGACGCTGCAAAAAGCTTGAGCCAGAACGGTTTTCGGATGAACCTGTTCTGGGATATTATAATGGGGATATCGGAGGATCTCGGAGGACCTCGGAAGGCCTACTAAGCAAGACTGGCTGCAACCTGGGGGCTAAAAGGGGGGCCCGATTCGCCGGGATACGCAGGGATACATAAAAGAGGCCCCTGTGGAGTCTGATCCTATACATATGTCACGCTCGGCCTCTAGGGGCCATCTGTGGTAAGTAGGCTCTAGATAGGCAGGCTCTGGGCTGTGAGTTGCACCCCCCGCGCGGGCCCAGAGATGGCCCCAACACGCCGCCCAGGCCGACCTCTCTCGCTCTTTGACTGCGCGTGTATCTTCTTTTCCCCACCCGTCAGCTCTCATGGGCAGCTGGTGGGGAAACTTTTCAGTCAGCGACCGCAGGCGAGAGCGCAAGCGGCGAGTCGAGTCAGAGCGGGCCGCGCAAAGACAAATTAACCTAAAGCGGTGGGCTGGAGCCTCACGCGACACCTCGGCGGGCGGGCCGGCGAGTGGAGGGGGGCTGGCGGCGGCTGCCAGGGGGGGCTGCACTGCCAGAGGTGCACGCATGCAACGAGATGCAGGGGGGGCTGACTGCCAGGGTGGCCGTGCTCTGGTGGGGATACGCTAAGCGTCAAGAATAGCGATAACTTCTTGTTGCCTTTTCTAACATCGCCGCTATGGTAATGTTAGGTATCACAATTCCGTCATGGTTCCTAGTCCTCTTCCTCACTCTCTCCCTACCCTGCGAATTCGTCGCAATCCTCCTTCGCTCTTTTTTCTGAGGCTCCTCCTTGGACAGCCTCTTTTTTTGACGGCCTCAGTGAAGCACGCTGCGCGGAGCACCAAAACTGCAGCGGGCGCGGTAGACGTATCGCCACTCGGCTTGCCGGCTTGCAGCACGAAACATTACATACATCTGGTGTCATGTTCCACTTGACTCGCAACATGAATCGATTAGTGGTGGCTGAGGTCGACCACAAAGTAAAGACAACGCGCCACTATGGACGCACCAGCACTGTAAAATACACTAACGGGTTCCATAGCGGCACCGAAGTTGAGAGGAGGAAGAGGAGGAAGGACGGGCGAGAGGAGGACTGGGCTCGGTGGCGGTTTGGGCCGCAGGCTAACTGAAACCATATTCAACTCCACATGGTTAAGGATTCGTCTTCGATTCGACACTGGCTGCCGTGAAGGAATTCTATACAATCGTCGCGTTTTTCGCACCCAAGCTGTTTATTGCGTCGGAGCGCCAGGGAAAAAAATCGTTCTGACAACTCTACCGCCTGGCGGGGACGTACTGGTCACGCCTCTTTACCCTGCTCGCCGTCCATCTTCGCCTTGCGGGCGCTGTCCAGCAAATCGTCGATGGGGACTTGGGTGTCTATGGCGTCTTCGAGGCAGTTCCTCACCTTCAGCTGCATGGTCTTTCCACGAGAGACGTTAGTGGCCTCGTGCTCCTGGTCCACGAGGTCGAAGATGCCCAGGGCGCGCTCCTTCGTCAGGTGTACGTCGATCGAGACCAAGAGGCTCATCAAGTCCATCCTCTTAACAGTATCGTCACCACCGTTCGCATTGAGCAGCAGTGTCTTCGCCTTGCCCTGCGTCAAGCCCGTGACCTTGTTCTGGATGAAGACGAGGTCTGTGTGAGCCTGGCGAACCTCGGAGACGATTGTGTGGAGCACCTCCTGGTCGGGCGCGGAAAAAGCTTGGACGGTCGTCAGCTCCACCAAGCCCAAGGGGAACAACACCAACAACGAGAATAGGAGCGGGGCCAGGAAGCCGAGATGGTACCACCACACACCATAGCTCAATTCGTCTTTGTAGACTTTCAGGTTGTACGTGAGGTGCATGACGTACATGCCCAGGAGGAAGCACACACTCAGAGACTCAAACTGCATGAGCCACGCCATGAAGTCGCTCCACCATTGCAGGGGCTCCTCAACGTCATCCAAATCATCAACATCGCTGTCCTCGTCTTCGCTGTCCTCGTCCATTTCATCTGGGCGATGCGTTTTTAGGTACCGGTTCACGGCTACGTACAGTTTTCCACGGAGAAGCCTGATCTTAACCACAGTGGCCAAAGTGAGTAGACAAAAAAAAATTGTCGTAAAGAGGAAACCGTTGATGTATGCTGGAGTCTTGGCTGCGTCTGTAGCAATGAAGATCTTATAGAACACCATGGGGAGCAGGAGCAAGAACGAGACAAGCCAGGTCACCCACGTAATGTTGATCAGGTCGCAGATCTGGTGAGCGAGCGACTCCTGAAAGTACATATTCCAGTTAAACGAATCATTCGTCAACTTATGCCGCTCCAGGAAGACACTCTGCTGCTTGACGTTCATGGGCGTCCAGGTTCCCATCTTCGGGATTACAGTGTCGGTGTGCGCATCCCCTTTCAAACCCCTGCAAATGCTCTGATGTGCGGTGCCGCATCCACGCATAGATTGCGCCCAGCCCGATCAGGGAACACGCAGCGAACGACACCAGCACGTCAGCGTAAGTGAGGTGCGTGACACAATACGGAAACTTCTCATCGAGGTCTGGATCTAAGTTAGTTCCTATAAAAATCGTAATGGCAAGGATACCGAACACCATGAACTCCGTGACAACCCTGTCGAATATCATCTTGCTGCAGCGGTTGTTCTCGACGGCCCGCTGTGTAAAATACTGGACGCGGTCGATGAGAAGCCCATAGAAGACCATTCCCGCAAAGATGATCCAAAACTGAGCGTTGTCAAGCTTCTTGCTCTTCAACTGGAAGATAGGGTCACCGCCACCACCTGCGGCCTGCCCAAGCCACGGAGTGCACGCGAGGCTGGCAGCGGCAAACCCCACCGCACTGCCCTGCCATGGCTGCCACATCTCGCGCTGACGGGAGAGGTGTGCCTCCCTCCCCCTTGGGTAACTAAGTACGTGCGTCGCCGAAGATCGATGTATCCCAATTTACTTGAGGCCAACTCGCTACGGCTCCTCCTTGGAGAGCCTTTTGGGGGCTTCGCGAGCATATTTCAGAGCATCATGGGGCCTTCTGGAAGCCTCTTAAGTTCCTTCTGGGGGCCTCTGCAAGCTTCCTCGGGCCACCCTGCTTCCTACTGCGGTCTCCCTGAACGACCGTGTCATGATTTGGAATGTTTCGGGGGGCGTCTTCAAGTCATTTTGGGCCGTTTTGGGGCTCTCTTCGGGCCGTCTTGGGGTCCTGTTGGGCCGCCTTGGGGCTCTCTTGGACTGCCAGGAAGCATTTGTTTCAAGTATTTTTGGACGATTGTCTGACCTCCCCGGCGGCCTCGGACGCCGAAAGACCGAACAACACAGCACTCCCAAAATCATGCAAATCAATGAAACATCAATGATTTTCGGTCTTTCGGAAACCTCTTGGGGATCTCCTTCGGATCGTTTTTGGGCGTGTGGTGGGTATCTGGGGCCTCTTAGGGCTCCCTGACCGAATTGGGCTCGCTGCCTCGGCCCAGCAAGGGGTGTCCAGGACCCCCAAGAAGCCTGGGGGGCCTTCTGCACGGGCGTCCAAGGGGCCCACGGGGCCATGGATCCGGGGGGGCATTTTTGTTGTTGGTGGGGGGGGTCCCACCCCACATCAGATTGTAAAACATGTTTTTCTTCAGCGGCGAGGCGGCGAACTCCGTTCCAGCGAAAAGCTAGAAAGGGGCACTAACTAGCGAATTGGCTGGCGGGCAGAGAGGAGGGGGCCAGACTGCGAAACATGTGAACAACAAATGCGGGAATGTATGTATGCGTGTATATATATATGTATATATATATGTATATATATATATATATATATATATAACAAAGCCCTCCAAGCAAACCTTTCGATAGGTGTGGCGGATGCCTCCCCGGAGCTTTTCTCGCAGCGGCGAAATGAAGATTAATTACATAACAACCGAATGCGCTTGTTAACCGGGGCATTGTGAAGGATAACCAGCACCAAATAATTCCTTTGCACCCCGCCGCGAACAATCATTGCGCAACCTGCCGTTCAAAAATCATTGCGCAATCCGTCACAAAGGAATACATGTGTACTCCGCCACCGAAGAGAACCTGTTACATTTTGCCACAAAATGAAACTCGGTTGAAATCCGCAAAAAAAAAAACCTCTGGTTTTTCCGCAACACAAAAAATCATTGTGCACTCCGCCACAAGAGAACTTCCTTGCGCAACCCGCCCCAACTTAGATATGTCTGTACTTCGCCGCGAAGGGATCCTCATGTATTCCACTGTAAGCGAATAGTTTTATGCGCAAAGGGTCATCCGATCTATCACTGTTTCAACCAACGTGTTGGTTTCGCCTGTACCCCGCTGAACTAGTTAACACCTGTAGGAATCCGCCACCGTGCCGCTGGGCACGGAATGGACTTGTCCTCAGGTCCCTTGCCCAATCGCCTGAGCCTCAGTCCTCAATCCGAAGGGTTCTTATGATGCCCAAGCCCCGGATTCACAAATCTCCTTGGCCTTGCCACAGCTTCCCGCATGATTGCCGGGGTTTCTCGCATGATTGTTTCGAGACGAAGAGGGCCCCAAGACGGGCCATGAGGGCCTCAAGAGGCTCCCATTACAGTTCCAAGAAAATAAGCCTGCATGACTCCCCAAGAGGCTTCGAAGAGGCCTCCCAAGTGGGCCCCAAGAGGCCAAAGTCATTGATTCCCCATGGATGTTGAAAGGGCGTGGGCGTTCTCGCCTTCTCGGCTTCCTTACGCTCCACGTCTCCCGGGGCCCCAAAGATCACCCAAAGACGGCCCCCTAGAGGGCCCCAGGACGGCCCAAGAGGGCCCCAAAACGCCCCAAACGGCGCCCAGGACGGCCCAAGAGACCCCAAAAGACGGCTCCACGAGGGGGCCACGCGCACGCAGACGAGACCTCGCTGCTCCCTGGGGGGCCACGAATTTCGCAGCTGTCGCCGGCTTGGTGGGCTCCTGGGAGGCACGGCGGTGTTGGGGGCCGCGCGCACCCAGCCGAGACCTCGCAGCTCCCTGGCTGGCTGCGAATGAGCTGCGCAAGTGGCGCCACTTTCGTGGGTTCCAGGGGGGTCCAACGGAGTCGGGAGCCACGCGTGCCCAGGCGAGACCTCGCTGCTCCCTGAGCGGCTGCGGACAAGGCAATTGTCGCCACACTCGTGATCCCCTGGGAGGTCCAGCGGGGTCGGGGGCCACGTGCACCCAGGCGAGACCTCGTTGCTCCCTGGGTGGCTGTCAGGACAGGACAGGGCAGGAGCGGCGTGCGCGGAGGCGCGCCCTCTGCGGGCCGCCGCAAGCCTTGTCGCATTCTCGCACGCGCATTCTCACATGCTAACTGCGCAACTGGCACAACTTTCACAGGCTCCTAGGAGGTCCGACGGAGTCGGGGGAGCACGCGCACCCATTCGAGACCTCGCTGCTCCTGGGAAAGCTGCGAGATGTGCAATTGTCGCCACTTTCGTTGGCTCCTTGGAGGTCCAACGGGGTCGGGGACCACGCGGATCCAGCCGAGACCTCTCGGCTCCCTGGGAGGATACGATATGCGCAATTGTCGCCACTTTCGTAGGCTCAGGGGGGGGCGGGCACGGCGTAGGTGAAGGCAACGCAGATCGTGCATATCTGGCGATGTGTTCTTCCATATGGACCGTTCAGGCACGTATTCGTCTCGCGTGAAGATATGGCTGGATACGTCTCTGGTGATATTTGTTTGCCGATGTTCGCGTTCTCACCTTTTCGGGCGCCTGGCAGCCGCAGACTGCCCCACGGGCCTCCAGGATGGCACCGAGAGGCCCCACGACGGGCGAAGCGACCCAAGACTGCCCAAGACCTCTCCAAGACGGCCCAAGAAACCTCCAAGACGGCCCTGAAACGCCCCAAGAGGGCCCAGTCCAGTCCAGTCCAGAAGCCTGGCGCTGACCACAGCGCGTGAGCAGTGGGTGAAAATGTGCACGAAAGCGGATGCCTTCAGCACGCCGCCCATGCCTTGACCGCCAGCTCCCAGAGTGGCCCTTAAGATGGCCCCCGGAGGCCTCAATAGCGGGCCAAGAGCGCACCGCCCAAGAGGCCATCAAGAGGCCCCCAGAAACCCCCGAGCGGCTCCGACGAGGCCCCAAGAAGCCAAAGGATGCCCCCAAGGAAGCCCCAAGGAGGTCCCGAGGAGGCCTCAAGAGGCCCCCTCAACCTCCCTGACATTCACCTAGCCCTCTTCATGCACCAATGTTTCCCACCGTGCAACGGCTAGGAGAACACATAGCCAAACAGCTTGGCAAGACCTCGGTCGAACGATTTGTCACCTAGGGGCTTCCAAAGGCACGGGGTTGCGGTGGTTCGTCGTAGACGTCTTTGATACATGTGTCGTGGTTGCGGTCGTATCGTGCGTCGTTTGTTCGTCGTCGTCGCCGTCTCGGTATGTTTCTTTATCAGTATGTCTCTCTCTCTCTCCCTCTCTCTCTCTCGCTCTCTCTCTCTCTCTCAGGCTTGCACCTGGGCTCCCCTTGGCTGGTTTGAAGCATGTGTTCCCTCTCCCACATGGGGCGAGGAAATACACGCGCACACACACGTACATACTAACGAGCGCGCAAACGCAACACGCACGCACGGTCCAAGATAGCAACACGACCGCCCAAAAGACCCATCGATTGCCCCAACAATCTCGAAGGATTCGCGCGTTCCTGTCATCTCTTTTGGGACGCACAGAGACATGCCAGTACTATATGTCATCCTTGGAGGCGCGCGTGCGACCCGAACATGTAGTATACCCATCTTGTAGTATTTTGTCTCCCGAGCGCTGTGGCCATGACGCCTGTACTCTGAGATCTCTCGGTGCGCGCGTCGCCCCTGGGGGGGGGCGACGCACACATAGTATTAGTATGATGGGGTTGCGGGCAATGCTTATGTCCATATCCAGTACGTTTTGGACTTTCTTGGAAGGGGCGCCGCAAGGCCGAGGCTCACTGGATATGGATAACAATCCAGCCTGTTGGGGCCAGAACTACAATCCATATCCAGTGCGCCTCATGCTTCCGGGGAGGAGCGCCCGAAACTCCAAGACGCACTGGATGTGGACATAGACAGTGCCCGCAGGGGTGACGGCGACCTTTGCTCTGCTTCGGCTCTCCCCTCGCGCCTGGGGCGCCGCCAGAGCCGGCCGGCGGCGCCAGCCCACCCCGCGCCGGAGGGCGGCGTCCGTGCGGGAGCAAGGGGAGGAGCGGAGGGGGCACAAGGATGAAGTCGGGCCTGTCCCCTCTACAGGAGGAAGATCCAAAACATAGTTGAGAACATAATCTGGAGACGATGGTTTGACTATTGTCATTGTTGGATCTATATACTCTTAATGTTTCCGATTTTTTCTTCCGAAATCCCTATGTAAGGGGTCACGCCCGACCAAACTTTTTGATTCGCGGGTCGAGAGCGCACCTCTTTCGGTCGAAGCTAAGCGGGCCGCGCACAGCTTGAATTAACAAAGAGGGGGGGGC